CTTGGTAACAGATTTGCAGAACGTTACACACGCACCCCGGACGGGGGGTTAACACAAGCCGTCGTATGGTGTACTAGGACCCCTGAACCTTCTAGGAACCTCTTCATGAAAAGGCAGCCATGTTCCCTACGTCGCAAACCCGCTTCGAAGGGGAGACGACCAACAAAAGTGAAAGGTTTACGGGTACTGGCGGGGGACTCCGCAGCTCTTGGGCAGAACCAACTCTGAAGAATACATGGAACATGGGCCTTGATCCCCTAAACCCTAAACCCTAAGTTTGTAAAAAAAATCATGGGCTATGTCATAGCACGGTATAGCTATCTAGGGACTACAAGGGGAAATCAACTTTACTACTAGAAGTACGTCGGCGTCTGAATGACCCAGCGGGCACTCGACCACCCGGCCTGTTGCAGCCGTTGATACCCAGAAGACCTCGCGAGGCGTTCAGTGTGCGCTTTCCCCTAAAAACTCCCATAGGGTTTAGGGACTAATAAGGTAATAGGGGTTTTAGGGTTCAGGGTTTTAGGGTTGAGGGGATACCCGTAGGCTCCAAAGTAGTTCCTTTTTGCGGTTTATATTTAGGATCCTATAAAGCAATCCCAAAACGGAACTACTATGGAGCCTATGGGTAAAGCCGTAAAAACCGAAGACAGAGTCTGAATAGAAGGGTCGTAGACAAGCACGGCCGCCAAAGCTAAACCCTAAATACCCTGAGTTTTCGGGTCTGGGGTGTTATGATTGTTAGGGCTTAGAAAAACTGTTGGTTTGCGGGCCTTGCAGTCTTCTAATTTTAGGGTTTGTTGGTTGCCCTGGGTGAAGTCTGAAGATTCCGAGCCTGTCGCAAATACAATGGGGGAACTAGGGCCCCTACAGTGCCAAGGGGAAAGCTGCAAAGCCATCTTCAGGATGTCCTGAAACTGCCACAGAACCCTTTGCACTTCGGAACCAATTTGCACCTGCCAGCAAGTAATAACACAGAAGCCTAGCTAATTACTAATACTACTCCCTTACGGCCACGATGTAGCCAAACTTTGCCGTGCCCCAAAATCCTGTTCCAGACACTAGTAGTAGAACCTAAACTCGGAAGGGCCCTAGCTCGACACCTGCAGCGCTAAGGAACCTTCCGAAAGCCTTCGAACCCACGCGATTGCAACGGATCCGAAATGCTGAGGTGGTGACATCCTGAGTAGACGTAAGCCTTGTGGCAGCCTGGTGGCACTCGTGCTGCGGAACATGTCTGGATTAGCATGCTGGATTCATCAGCATCACCATAATCATCTTCATCGACATCATACTCACCAGAAGCAGCCTCATATTCAGTATCATCAGCTTCATAACTCCTCCTCACTGATAACATGCCACCGACCACCACTGCCACCGCTGCCGCCGCCAGCAGCACCAGCACCAGCACCAGCACCAGAACCGGTACCGGCACCAGCAACAGCACCAGCACCAGCACCAGCACCAGCACCAAGCATCATCATCATCTTCATGTTCATCCTCATCTTGATGACCACGAGGTTTTCCATCTGACAGGTGTTAAACTGTCAAAGGATTTTCTAAACACATTCAATTCCCGACAAGTGCACGGACCCGGCTGAAAAAGCTTGGGGTCTGGGGAATGTATACAAGTCCAACGACTTCGGATCAAGCAAAAACCCCATGGGACACCTCCATCAAGGTATGTGGGAGGCAACAAGACAAGCACATCTTATCCATGCAGCCTTTCATAACGGAGAGCGGAGAGAGAATCACACACTGATTTCATGCTTGCTGATTAGATGTGCTCAGCGGCGTTCACAGCCTACGTCCTTCTGCTTGCGCTGGGTGTCTTCTTGTAACGACTACCATAAAACTGCTAGAATCTGCTTTCGGTCGAGATGCCTGTATATAACTGAGTCTGTCCACAACTCATCGGAACCCCTTACGCAAGCAGGCTTTGAAAACTACTCAGAATAGGGTACATTGGTATACAGTATAGTGCAGTTATATTCAGAAACCTAAGGACACATGTCAGTACGTACTGTTGATGACAAAACCTGCATTACCCATAATAAAGAATATACCATAATTCCCGTAGTTTGGGGTCCTTAAGGNNGGATGTATATCATCAACCGTAGTGTCTGCTCCTCTTCCAAACATTTCGGGGAGGCTTTCTGGACTGAAACCTAGCCCGAAAACCGGAAGCCTCAACCCGGAAGCCCAAAATCCTAAGTTTCCACGAAGGACCACCTCTTTAACAAAGGGGCACTCAGAATGAGAATCGGGTTTTTGAGGTATATGACACGATAAATGGTGGGGGGAGACTACTTGCAAATCTTCCGACCCCGGTATTATCTCAACCCGCAGCTCAACACCAACATAGAGAGCTTCTCAACCAATTAGGATAGATATAACTTTTGCTTCGTTCAGGGCCTCAAGAATGGTTTGCCTATTCAAAAATAGTTTAAGGTAGGGCGGGATATTCATCAGGCCCTAATTCCCGGAACCCTCTCAGAACTCAATTCCTATCCGAAACCTCAACAACCCCCCCGCTGGAATCAGGGGTCTAAAGCACTTCTATAATTCCTCAGACACCCTGATCCCCGAACCCTGAGCCCTAAATCGTGAACCTCAAATCCGAACACCTCGAACCTCGAGAGCCGACATCCTAATTCCAAAAATCCTGAACCCCACCCCGCCTGACACAAGGAAGCCGCAAAAAACAGCAAGGATGGCTATCTCAGGAAGGAAGCAGAGAGCCGTTTAGGGTTTAGGAATATACCTCAGACTATAGGGAGCTGATTGTTTGATGAGTTTAGGTGTATTCCTTGAATGCGGCCTTGGGCTCTCAGGACGGAAGCAAGGCTTCCCTAAACCCTAAGCCCTGAA